TGATTTGAAGTGAATTTTAAACAACCTCAAAACAAGCTGAAGTATATATAAATCAACCTCGTACACCTTAATTACAACCTTTACGAGGTATAATTTTTATTGCTGTTTTCTCTGCAACCTTAAATATACCTCAAATATACCTCAAAACAACCTTAATACCTCAAAAATACCACAAATCAACCTTAAATATACCTTAAATTTTCATAAGGGATATGCAGGGATAATTTTATTATTAATTTTCATTTTGATGTATTGTATACATTTGATCATTAATCACAGCAACGTGTGAGCGGGTACAGCTAGTGATTAATAATGGTTGGAGTTAAAGCTTTTTTTCCCATCATAGTCGCGGTACATATATATTTTTGCGATTTCACGAGTCTTTGATTTGAAGCAAAGATAAGCATTTGAAGCATTATAGACTCCGCGCAGCAAAACAATCAATAATCCAAAATTAATGCTGATGCGTTTTCAGGAAGAAAAAAAAAATTCCTTTTTAAAAAATAAACTACAGACTTTTTTGAATAATTTTATAAAGGGAAAGGAAAAATTTTTCAAAAAAGTATTTCTGAAAGAAATAAAAGTAGCGCACTTTTAAGATTTGTAGCATTTGAAAAATAATGAGTAGCCCAAAAAATAGCGGGTAGCCCGGATTCGATTTTCAGTTTCGGGGACTTTTAAAAATAGCCCAATCCGCTACTTGTAGCTCAATCTGGCAACACTGTGCTAATGCCTCGTCCACCGGACATGCGCATTAATAGGCTGCATCTACATGCTGACAAATCCATCTGCATTCGAGGGTGGACGGTTAAAGGAATTGATGTTTACATTTAAAACCAACCTCTCCCCTACAGCGTGTTTACCCGAACACCAATTTAGTATCTTCAATATTAAACATTTCAAATATTATTTACAATTTTAAAGTTTCACATTGCTCATGAGATGTTAAAATCCTTGTTAGTATATCAGCCCCCCTATGTTTTCGGTGTGCACAAAACCTACATTAACTAATCCATTTTGCAAGGTGTTTCTTGTAGTATGGTCTCAGATATTTAAACGTTTCGTTTTGTCAAAAATAGCATTTTCGGCCAATTTATTCATCGATCCTCATTAAAATTATTATCCCAAGATTCGAATTCGCTCATTAAATTAACAAGATCAAAGACCTATCGTAGCATCGGAAAAAGTCATGTACTCTGGTTCCGTTTAAGATAGAGCCACGGTACATTTTCACCGGTTTTCCCGCGTAGTAAAGCTACTGCTAAAATAAAGATTTTCCAGTCTGCGTCAGCATAATTAAATAAAGTCTCATTATTGTTTTTAAATACAAGTTCGAAATTAACAGTTTCCTTAAGGTATCGTAAAACGAGTTTTGCTATCCATTGAATTTTATTAAAACAAATTAAATACCTGCTTATCTGATTAACATAATTTGCAACACTAAGTCTCGTGGAAGTTGCAGGATACATTAAGCTTCCTACTAATTCAAGAGAGGGGTACTCAGATTCACAACATTTTCCGGCCGGAGTAGCCTAGGCGACTAGGAGTTCGATACTCGCCGGCCGAAGACTTCCGACGTAGTAAACGATGACTGATGCACTTTAAATCTGCCGGGGATTAAGTCCTCCATGCTCCCATGTTAAATTATACCTCTGGGGTTACAGAATTGGAGATTGATCGTTCTCTGGTACAGATCAATATTACGATCTGTGGATGATGTTGTAGTTCATTTACGTCGCATTCGTGCTGTACAATGGGCTATTGGTGACGGTCAGGGAAACGTCCCTGAGGATGATCCGAAGACATGCCATCACAATTTCGATCTTCTGCAGAGGGGATGGCACCCCCGTTTCGGTAGCTCGACGACCTACGCACGAAGTCGAGCACTTTACGGTAGCACAGTTTAACGAGGACCAATACCGCACACCCTCGGTCCCTACGCAGACTGATCCAAGTGGTCACCCACCCGCACACTGACCGCAGCCAGTGATGCTTGACTTCGGTGATCT